TTCCAGTGAAATATATTTATGTTTGTGGTTGTAATGTGACAAAATATGGAAAAGTTCAAGGGGTATGAATACTTTTGCAAACCACTGTACATATTCACTTTTCTAAATAAAATCCAAATTAACAATTTATTGAAATTTTTTGTGGACCCCCATGAAAATGGACCCCTTGTAGACCCCAGTTTGAGAAGGTCTGTTATAGCTAAAGTCAAAAAATGTTTCTGATTTATTTTCTGGGTTAATTTATTAATTTATTTATTTCCTTTTTAAACTTAAGTTGGGTCCCCAGTGTTCCCAACTACAGTCTGTTAAAAAAGGCAGATATAGGTTGATTGTACTTAGCTCATTTGATAGAAAAATTTATCTATACCCTGCTCTGCTGTACATGTGTCCAATTGTCTCGTTTACCATCTCCATATTCAGTTTGACTCACGTATTGTGTTTTTTCTTTCTCTACAGCTTGTGTGTTAAACGCACAGTCAAAACCTGTTGTGAACCAAAGGAAATTCCATATCAAAAATATGAAAATCCTGCTCCACAACATCAAACATGAAGATTGTGATATAAACATAAAACATCTTAGTAAAAGAAACAGGGTAGAGAACACGTCAATGAATACACCGATGAAAAATGTGTCAAAGCAGCAAAAGAAGCTGAAAGCAAAACATGGGTCCTCGYCTGCCGGACAACAGAATGCAGAAAAGAGCGGCAACAAGAAATTCTCCTGTATCTTTTGCAAAAAGCTGTTTGATACAAGATCCGGTCGAAATATTCACTCTCGTTTCCACAGGACATGCAAAGGCTGCAAAAAGGTCCTCAAAGATGTTTATACTCTGCGTTGTCATATTACGTCATGTGTAAAATTTAAAAATCGCATGGCAAAGGAAGCCATGAAACCTTCAACAATCTACGCTGACAAGAAAAGCACAACTGAGCCCTTAAAATTCACAGTGAAGGAGGAGAGCATGGAGCTTTCTGTCAACAGTGAAACATTCACCAGAAATTACACAAAAGGCTGCACAAATTCCATTGAGACACATGGAGAGCTTGGATGGATGAAGCCTTTAGAATATACTGAAGATAACTGAGAAGCCCAGTAAAGATATGAATCAAGAAAACACAAAATCTTCTTCAAATGAATAAACTTCCGTAGGAGAGAGAGGCTCGATACTTGAGGGAGGTCATGCATTTTAAAGTTTAGTTTCCAGCCTCCATGACTGTCCAGTGTAAACAAACACAACATCTTTATATCTGTCCAAACTTCAAAGGGAACTGTCCTAAAGCAGAACACAGTCCTAGAATATGTCTCAGGAAAGGGAATGGACTGATGCAACGTGTAATTCAGCTACATGTTTGTGGACATTGGTCCCACTGGAAGTCAACATTTAGCCTCGAGATAAAGTTCTTTGTGTTTTGTTTTATATGTGAGGTGAAGTCATAAAAATATACTCAAAGGGGACCTATTATGCAAAACTCACTTTTTAAAGTTTTTTTTACTCATCTTTGGGTACGTACTTCTTAAAAAATCAGTACTAGGACCAAAAAAATGCATCCAGGGTTATATTTACTCAAAGTAAATGTATTTTTTCATGTATATTAATGTCAAGTTTTCAAATCCCGCGACCTGTGATGTCACAAGTCGCACTCCGCCCACCCCATGCAGAGACTCCGCCCACTTCTTCCCAGGACAGTCGCAGCCGGCCAGTGAACTGTTTCTYGGGGGACACTTTTCCTCGCAGCACCGCTCTGTGCGTTAGCATGCTAATGTTATTGTTGAGCAGTTTGTTGCAKCGGCAGGTGCCAATTCCGCTGCTTATATTGACTGACGTTAAAAAAAACATCCCGTTTTTGCCATCGCTGAATGTAGTAAACACCTCTTCAGTGACGTGCATGGTTAGATTAAACACGCGATGTTAATATGGAAACATGGAGACACATGGAGACTTTAGCATGGTTCTATTGTGAAAAGCCAGAGGGAAATAGTTTTTGTAGCGGAGTTGAGTTGACTGGTGTGCAAGGTGAGTCGTGCTGTTAATCTTTATTAAATATCATAAAAAAATAGACCCGATACTCTTTTCTTAACCCTCCTCCTTCACGACCGGACCAAAATGCATTACTACTGTCTCCAACCAGGAGGAGGAGAAGAAAAGACATTTAGAGGAGGGAAACAGACAGACAGGAACATAATAGGTCTCCTTTAAATCTCTAAATTAATTTTTTTATTTACCCATCTTTACAAATAGTTTAGTAAAACCAGCAAATCAACTAGATGTCATTTTAGTGCAGTGATGTTGGAGTGAGTCCGGTCTCCGAGCCGGGTCGGCGCATTTACTTTCAGATCAACTGAGTGCCGTCAAACAATAGTGATGTATTGAATCCTCAGGATTTGTTTTTACAGTACCAGTTAAGTCAAGGTGCGTCATCACGTTGATGTGAATCTTATGTGATATCAGTAGAGTTTTACAGAATTCCTTTGTTTCCATTACGGCRCAGCAGTGTTCTGAGTCCAACAGTGACAACTTGACTACTGACTGGATATTTGTTGCTTGTAGTATTTTGTACATAAAATTAATGTACTTGTTTTTGTTTGGTCTGAAAGTAACGTTTTGCTCACAATTATTTGTCTAGAGTTTGCTTTTTATCACAACATGTGTATTTTTCGACTAAATCAGTGTTTTTCACACACATTAGTCCAAATCATGCAGTGTTWTTTTGTCATCTGTCATTCACTGCAAATGTTGGACAAACAATTGTTTTTGTTATTGTACTTACATTTTTAAWATTACTTTTTAAATCCTGTATGATGTGAACATTTCTTCTGTTTGCATAAAAACTTTTTTTAAGTGGGCAAATGTATTTTATAATTCATTTGAACCAAAGACACAAGTGCAAATGAATTCCCTGTATTTTTTTTTTTATTTTCGCATACCATTTTTTATTGTATTTAGTATGTTAAAAAAAATTATACAAACTGTTGCCAGCAACACAGAAGTTGAAAAATTAGTATGTTTACAAGTGCTGTACATGCTTTTATGTTTTATCATTGCATGCTTACTGATTTTTAACTTATTGGGGTTTTGTTACCACCACCCACCCCACAGTGTGTTTGTGAAAGTGCATTTAATTGATTTTACTACTTTTAATCCTATTCATACTATTATTTACTTTATTCCAGAGCAAAATGGTGTTGCAGGTTTTTTTTTTTACTTTTTTTTTCATTCTGATTATTTGTGCTGCCTTATTGAAATATTGCATTAAATATAAGTATTTCCCATTTTGTCTAATGTATTGTGCTTTTTGTTGTGAATATTAAATTATGTTAAAGGCCTTAAACTTTTGAATATCGCCCACTTTTAATAATTTTATTTTGAGAAATAATGACGTCACTGTCATCTTGGTCAAACCTAGAAAGTTGCTATAGTCAATCTCATAATAATAATAAAGCATTTTATTTATAAAGCACCTTTCAGGACACTGTGCTACAGAAAAACAACTCCTCTAGATGCATGGTGTACATATGTGTACAACATGCTCGGAGCATGTGTTGGGTAAGATTCTGCCACGTCAGAATTTTGCTCTAAAATCTGAGTTCTTGGCATTTTTATGTTTTGTGTCCATTAGCTGTGGCAGCCATCTTGAATTAGGTTGACTCTAAATGTTTTAAGTTTGAGAATAAGAACTATTTTCTGAAATTTTCAATTAAATTTGTCCAGTAGATATAATTAGATATTTTGCTAACAGAGTTGACTCCGAATAGTTAGCTGTAAATTTTAAACAGACTGCTACATCACAAGCAGCCGTGCTCAGGCACGTTATCGCGAGATTGTCTTCTCATCCCACCACAGGTGCCCACCTGCTAGCAAGAGATACCCCATTTGTTTTTTGCAGTTAAAGATTGATTCACTCTTTAATGTTTAGTCATTTAAGATTTTTATCACCCTACCTTTCCAATCGGCACATTAATATTTCTTTTTTTCCATCTACTTCTCTGACATTTACACATTTAGCGTCAGTGTTAGCCGAAATACGCTAGCTTTACGCTTCGTTGGGTCTTTGTTTACATCTTGTTCCGAGGGAACGTGAGTAGAGCAGAACAATAACTCACGTTTTGTGAACGAKTTTTCATTTAAATTCGCTAGAAATCAACCATTTATGCTCTTAATACAGTTCGCCTCAAGTAGCACCGCGTTAGCATCCCGAATATGACAGGTTAGCTTAGCGTGATCAGTTTTAGAGCGATGATATTGATAGGTGGCTGCTGAAAACTTGTCAGAAATGTAGCATCGCAGCAGGGTTTAAAAATCAATTGACTTCCTCTGGAGCCCCGTTGCAACGACAACAGTGAGACTTTGATGCTGTTTTAAACAAACAAAGGAACATGGAATCTGTCAGGAGTGCTTTCCACGCTCAGCTGGCCACCGTCATGGACTCTCTGCTGGCTGCAGCTGTCTGCGAGATCGCCAAGATCTTCGAGAGCAGCCTGTGCGATCAGCAGGCGGAGCTGGTGCAGAAAACCGAGGAGATCTCCGTCCTCCGGTGCGAGCTGGAGAAACGGGAGCGGAGGCTGAAGGGCGCAGGCAGCGAGGAGGGACGTGTGTCGCCAGGAGGCAGGGAAGGCAACACGAGGCAACAGACAGGAACAGGTACAAGTTTGTGTTTCTGAACTCCACGGACAGCACACCTAGGTACGGTTTTATAAAAGTATTTAAATATTTAACCACACTTAAAAAAACACTGCAATGTAAATATTTGAAGGGCATACTTAGGGGAAAGTTATACCTGCAAATGTAAAGGCAATGTAAGGATTTGGTTCCTTTGGTTTGTGTTTTCATTGTATTGTGTTCATTATATAATAATTACTGTCTTTGTTAAAAGGAAGATAAAGCTTATTAGTCATATAAAGTTAAACATACACATATTGCAATCCTCTATTGATTTTGGATTGGGTTGCAYATTATTACAAAAAACCTGACATGCAAATTATTGTTACACATTATTATAATAATTACACATCACGGTTTTCTAAACCGGATGTGGGCATCGAGGCTGGTGATGGTCTGCTGGGTTGACTAAATATATTCTTTGCTAACAATATGAAATATAAACACCTTTGATTTATTATGGTCCTTTGCAATATTGATATTGCGCTCACTTATACTGCGATAATGATAAATGTTTGATGTGCTGCCCTACTAATATTTATATAGAGAAAAATACAGTGTTRAATTTTGCTTCAGTCGTTTTACTTTGTGAGTAACCTGACGAACGTCGATCACACCGATCTTCTCATTCTTTTTATTCTTTCAAGCAGGACCAAATGTGGGAAAGAATGAACCTACTGACCCGGRCTCGGAGGAAGTACTGAGCATGCTGAAACAGGAGGTTCTGGGGCAGGATGGAGCTCCTGTAAAACATGAGGTCAGATCCTTTTTCTGCCGCTCCACAACACGGCCGTTTTCTAATAATTTAGAACAATTMCGTTGTCAGGATTTCTGAACAGACTACTTTTGCGTTCACTGCTACCTATTTAAAGTCTTACAGACTTTTTTTTTGTTGATGTATTATTATTTATTTGCAGCATTCTGGATCTGTGTCTGTCACAATCCAAGCCACAGATGAAAACCTTACCACCGGAGACGACAGGCAGAATGATGGTCCTTCTGCTACACAAACTAAGACCAAAAGTAAAGCAGTCAAACAAACCTGAGCTTGATATTTGATGCAGTAAGATCTAACCTGCATGATAAAAGTGTAAAAATATTTATTTTCCTTTTAATTGTTCTACAGTATCTAATTGGAATCAAAGCAGTCACAGTGCAGACTCTCGCTCCCTCCAAGATCAAGCCTCCGCTCCTTTTGTCTCCATCTCTCAAAGCGGGCGTTGTTCTCCTCGGACTGATCCAAACCAACATCAGCCAGGAGAGTGGTTACCGGGACTGGACACCGCTCGAGGTAACGTGCCGGGTCTAGAGAACCTGCAGGCTGATGGTACGGACCGCTCTGCTCCAGCTGGCAGCGGCACTGGCGTCGACCCTTCATGCTTCCCGCCTGGTTACGGCGCAGACAAAACCAGCGACGATGGTGACGATCGCTCGTTCTCTTTCCTGAACCAGGAGTCTGAGAACCGGGACGCAGAGCCGAGTCAGGGCATGGGGCCGAGGGGYGCTCGTCCAGACCACCCCCAAGCCTCGTCAGGTGAAACTGCGTGGCCAACGAGAGTCGACAGGGTTGTGAGAAGTCCCAACCATCACGCGCGGCGGATTACRAACTTTGTCAGCAGAGACCCTCTGCGACCTCAGTTGACCTCCCCGTCGCTCGCCGTGCGGCAGTTAAACACTCTCCTCCCSCCTCCGGCTCCCGGCGGAGGCAACGCACGCCCTTACTCCTGCCCGTACTGCTCCAAGTGTTTCACCTACCCCTCSCACCAGCGCAGGCACCTTTTGCGGCACACGGGGGTCCGGCTGCATCCCTGTCAGTTTTGCGACAAGAGCTTCCTCACGCCGTCGGAGCTGACCGTGCACACTCGCACGCACACCGGGGAGAGGCCGTTCGGCTGCGCTCAGTGTGGCAAGCGCTTCGCTCGCAGCGGCAACTTAAGGGCCCACCAACGGGATGTTCACATGGGGAAGAGGCCCTTCGTTTGCGCCGAGTGTGGGAAGAGATTTGCCCACAGGGGGAACCTGAGGGTCCACAACCACAGAGTGCACCAAGGAGATCCCTACTACATCGACGATCAGCCCGAGCCTGATATAGGCCCAAACGCTATTTAAATTAAAAAAATTTCGGGCAGAACAAATCTAGGAAAAGAAACTAATTTCAGCACACTTAAAGCATTTTGTTMGTTTTTAAATCGATGACAGGCAGCCATGGAAATATAACCACAATCCAAGTTTTACATTCAGTGATGTAATTTTACTTATACTGACTTTATTTCCCAGTTCTGAGTGATTGTTGAGTTTTAGTTCACTCTTTAAAAGGCTTGATATGGATATGCAAAAAAAAGTCATTACGTTATCTTCCATTTGTTGTGTTTTCAGTCAGACATGCTCTCAGTCAGTGCATTTTTATGATTTAAATCCACAGAATAACAAAGTTTTATGAAGAATGCTGTTAGATTTCTTTGTGTACAGTTTTGAGACAACAAGGAGTCGTCACTCTTGGAGGATGCTCGTTCAGCTGTTTTATTTTGCAGAAATAATAAAAAATAATCACATATCAAATAGTTTTGATTGTTTCATTGAAGAGCGCTCATGTTTCTCGTCAGTCAGCATCTTGGTCACGTTCAGCAAACTACAAACTCATGGATTTTCACACATGCAGGCTTTTGTTTCAGAACACCAAATATTCTATGTTGTATATTTTTTTATGGTTAATTCGGTTTAGCTTTGGGATTCAGAAAAAAAAAAACTATTTTTTTTGGTGACATGTTTTGCGATGCCAGGGTGTTGCTGTTAGATGTAATGATTTTGCATCATGATTATTGGTTTTCCCATGAACTAGAACACTTAATTGACATTGGCGTGACCAGGGGTGGGATAATGTCCCCGTAAGATTTTACAGTTTTCACATTATTTCTTGTGAAATGGAATTAATAAAAATACTTTTATTGCAAATAGTCAATAATATTGTTTRAAAGGACTGTTTTGCTATTCACAAAGTGAAATCTAAAAAGTACATTAAATATAAATGCATCAGTTTTATCCAGGCACTAGGGGGCAGTGCAAGGATACAAATACTTTGGCTTCCGGGTAGACTTTTCATCCTATTATGTCTCACATGAGCAATTATGGTWGATGCACTTGTGTCATTTCTCATAGGAGTTGGAATGTGAATTTATTGTGTTTAATTGCACAARAACAAAAATTTCTCCTTGTTTTGTGAGTGCCAAAGTAAGTTTTATTCCCTTCGTTACAATTATCTTAAGTAAATCGTAAACTTTTGGAATAAAGCATTTTGTTGTGCACATTTTTTTTTATCTTTCCTTGTAACTATTTATTTTCTATATGTTTCAAGAAGCGTTACATCTTAATGCAGTGTGAAATGTACAAAATGGAAGATATGTAAGACATAATTTAAAAATGTTTTTTTCCACTTTAGACTCTGGTGGCAACACGGATGTAAGAATTTTGCTTCAAATGCAAAAGAAAATCTGTTCCTGTAAGACTACATGAAACATCCTGTTAACTTCAGCTGAACCTTGGATTGATTTTTATTCCCAGGCCTAAAGTGTCTTGGTCCTTGTGGAGGCTGATGGGATATTTGTCCTCGTCTGTCTTTCACAGTCTCTGCTGCTGGACGAGCCCCGGTCACAGGCTCTGTGCGTGTATTCCCCGAGCAGCTGAGTCCGTGGATTTGCTAACAGAAAGATTACATCAAATGACCTCCCCTCCCCCTTAAAGGTCACCTGTTTGTGTGTGTGTGTCCCTCTGGATTTTCCTTTCTGTTTAGTAAAACAAAAATGACCAGAGTTAAGGAAGGAGCAACATAAAGCTAAATCTGAGAGGACAAAGAGGCGTAAAAATTAATGTTTTGGACGTCACATGTCTGCGAGTCCAGTCGTGTAATGGGAGAATATTGGATCCCTGCTGTTTTAAGTGCACACACTTACTGTTTTTAATGAAAGTGAGGTCAGATAGCAGCATTAATCTATGCACAGATAAAAATAAGAAGTTTTAATTTATACATTTAGCTGAGCGTTAATCTCCTTTCTGGTCAAAGCAGCTTTTATCCCAGAGGAGAAATGCAACAAACAAGCACTTTGATCAGGCTGGAAGGACCACACTGGGATTGTTTTTACTTTTTTTATCCAGCTGAACATTAACGTAGTTGTAGCCAAGAAACAATATTTTACAAAATCTGATATCAAATGCAAAATCCAATACTGAAGCTAATTTCAAATGGCTACAACTCAGTCATTTTTTTAGAAATACAGAGCTGAAACTTTGTGTGATGGTATAAGAGCAGTCTCCATGACATACCCCAGCCTGGCCACCCCTATAGCTCCGCCTCTGTGTACAAGTTTTGTTTCATCATTCATTCATTGTCCACTAAGTTTCAATAAACACATCCTCCTACCTGAACACGTCACATAAAATCATTTTTGTAAATTATTTGAAACTTTTTTTTTTACTGTGTTTATGCATGTAGTGGTTGTAATGACATTTTATTAAACGTGTGTCAAGGCTGGAAGGGATTTAGAGCTGCCTTAAGGTGGTTGATAATCCACCCAGTTCCACCAACACCCCAGGGCCTGTGGTTTCATGTGGGATTCCATTAGTGCGAAACACTCTCTCTCTCTCTCTCTCTCTCTCTCTCTCTCTCTCTCTCCAGGGAATTACCTCTGTCTGCTACTTAAGGTACTGGTTGATCCAATGTCTGCTGACTGAATTTAAGCTCTCGTCTAATGTGCTAATAGTGTTAGACTGCAGGGAGGCTGCAGAGCTTGCATTTTGTAAAGCTTTTTTTTTATTTTATTTATTTTTTGCTTCTTGCTAGAAAAGCTGATTTCATGTTGCCATGTGGCTTAAATGATCAGTTAAAGGTACTGATTGCTATGTCATAAAATTATATAATAAGAGACAAAATTTGCACACTTCTTTTCTCATATTGATGGTTAATGTGTCCTTAAAATACTACTAATAAAAAAGAACGACCTCTTCATAACTGCACCATTTGATGTGTCCTGATGCATCTAATCCAGGTAGAAAAATAAAAAAGAAACGATTAAATAGGTCCTCTGGACAGGTTTTTTTTCTTTAAAGAAGAACCCTTCCAGAGGATCTACTTATTTTTTTGTTTTTTGACCATTTGATATAGTTCAGGGTTTTATTTTGTAATTTGAAATGAGTAGCTTTCAAAGTGTAAACCATTTAGTGAGATGCCAGACGAGTGGACCATGATGCTGATAGTTATTGTACAGCTAATGCAGGGAGCTCTCTGTCTTTATTTGTGAAGGTCAGGTTGTGTGTGTGTGTGTGTGTGTGTGTGTGTGTGTGTGTGTGTGTGTGTGTGTGTGTGTGTGTGTGTGTGTG